CTTCTGCCTACTTGATTATTTATATGCATTCTGGAAGATCACATTCTTTTTTTTGACAGATAAAAAAAAAGTTATGCCCTAATGCTTCAAAAGAAACCTTAAAAGATGTTGCTTTTTTTTTTCATGGGTGTTTCATTGTCCATTTTTATGAACGAATTGTGCTTCCACGTAAGTAGAGCAAATTACAGCATTGTTTTCAAGGGAGGAATATCTGAAAACATGGTGCTATGGTTTATTGGCAGGTGAGTGCCCTGGATTCACTGGAGTGAGGGGGATGTACTCAGTAGTTACAGCGCGTGAAGTTGACCCTGGGTGTTCTGGTGTGTTGTGTAACATAGTTGCAGTTGCACAGTCCATCCTATCAGTCTGACTTCTGTGCTGAAGGCTAGAGTGGGAACTTGGAGCTATTGCCTTTCTGGAATATTTTCTTAGGTGCCTTATGAGGAAAGTGGAAAGGAAAGACTGACCTGCAAAGAGCTTTTTATGTTCTTAGTAACTCTGTCAATATATGTGGTTTTTAAAGTAGCTATGAGTTTGCTTCTATTCCCAGAGCAGGAGGTAGCATATGCCCATCCTCTGTTTCCAGGGGAAAAGAAACTGCTTTGCATCTAATTCATTAATCTTTTCTCAGTATTGACTTCATATGATAAAATGCTTCAGTGCATCTGCAGTGGGCTTGAATTGTGCCTGACAGAAAGCAGCTTTCTTCAGCGTGTTCTGGCCACTGGATTCCAAAGATGAAGTTGTATGCAAGGCCTCTCTGCGCCCTTTTGAATAGCTTGTGATGCACTGGCATTTTATTCTGCATTTCCAATGTTTTCTTTGGAGTGACTTCATGTTTTCTAAATTCAGTTAATATCAAAAATAAAGACACTGAACAATGTGATTTGGTGGAAAGTATACCAAAAGCTTATCTTGTTTTGCTGGCTTTCATTTTAGTTTGCAATTATTCTAGATAATCTGCTCAGTGTAAACTTAATTACCTTCCTGCACTGTCTTTTCCCACTTTTAACTTTGCCCTAATCTAGGGACAGGATTTGAGCCCTTGCACTCTGTTGTGCAGTGCTATGTGGTGGTCTTGCTAGAGCATTGAATTTGCATCTAGTCAATGAACAAAGATGGCAATGATGTGTTCTCCCTGTAAAAGACTTTTATAATGGGACACCTGAAAGGGGAAGTGAGAGTAACATGGTGGCTGTGTTATATAACATGGGTGGGTTGTCATAGCACAAATTTGGTTAATGTTTTTATCTGTTATGCTGGGTTAATGACAAACTTCCACTGAAGTTGCTAATAGAAATTAACTAGCTGTTAGTTAATCCTTTCTGGTAGCTGGGTATTTTAATGATACTTTCTTTCCATGGTCTGCATGTTCCTGAACATCTGTCCTCTCAGAATATCTTCAACTTTTACTGGCAAAAAATACTTAAAATCCATCTAGTTGCTTCCTGTATTCCCTCCAGTCTAGGGTGAACTTTACAAGACAAAGAAGAAAAGCTGTACTTGTATATATAAGACGCTTTACTAATATTTCATGCTCTTATAATTTATGAAAAGGCCTAAGCTTGTATAGCTGCAGAAAATTGCAGGTTTTAGTGCTCTTGGGTATTCATAGATTTGAATAATCACAGAATGTTCTGAGTAGGAAAGCACCCACAGAGATAATTGAGTCCAATTCATGGCTCCACACAGGATCACCCAAAAATAAAACCTGATTTCTGAGAGCATTGTCCGAGTGCTTGAGTTCCAGAAGGGTTTGAGCTGTGACCACTGCCATGAGGAGCCCCTTCTAGTTCCTGACTATTCTCTGGTGAATAACCTTTTTGTAACGACTGCCTGACCCTTCACTGATGCAGCTCCATTTCTCTTGGTTCTGTCTCTGTCCCCACAGAGCAGTGCTCAGTGCTATGCTTCCACTCACCTTGAGAGGAAGCTGTAGGCTACCCTGAGGTCTCACTGAGTCTCTTGTCTAGGCTGCAGAAACAGAGACCTCAGCTGCTCCTTAGATGTCTTTCCCTCAAGACTCATGTTTGATGAAGTACAGATCAAGATCACGCAAACAGATCAGGATCACTATGGATGATGTGTAGCACTGCTGTTATCAGAGGCCTAATGAATTCAAACAGTCATTGTCCTTTGCAAATATACTTTTTATGTGCCAGTTTATCTGTGGTAACTTTGTTACAGAGATGTTTTTTACACTAGGCGTTGATTGGAGAGCAGTCCTCAAAGATATCTTAGAGAAGAAAGCTGAAGTTTTACAAGTTTTCCCTGTTTTTTCTGTGAGGTTTGCAGTTTTAGAATTCTGGGTCATGCTCTGAATGACAGATGGCCAAGAGAGCCTTGTTTCAGTTCATATTACGATAGGTGAATGGTTGGACTAGATGAGCTTGTAGGTCCTTTCCAACTTTGTGATTCTATGAAAGTATCAAGCAACAGAGTTAAGTTTTAAGTGGTTTGCGATGTGACTGCTGACAAAATACAAGTGTAGAGAATAGCTGAGCAGAAATGTGATAGGCGTACCGCTAAGTGCTGGCTGTCCCTTCTCACTAACTTCTCCCTTCTTCCTCTTCCCCACCAAATTGCACCATCGTGAATGTTCCCCAGCAAAGGAAAGATGTGAGCCTGTTGGAGCAGGTCCAGGAGGGCTGCAAAAGTGCTCAGTGAGCTTGAGAAATTTTTTTTAAGGTGATGGTGTTGAGGTACTGGAACAGGTTGCCTGAAGAATCTGCAGGTGCCCCTTCCTAAAAATGTTCAAAGTGAGGCAGATTGCGGCCCTAGGCCTCCTAATTTATTCTATTGACCTGCAACATCATAGGTGGGTTTTGTAGGATGGCAGTAGATGTTGAACCTTCCTGCTGATATTCCCTTACATGTTGTTGCTGTGTGACAGATGGCAGCAGAGGGACAGTCTGACACAATGGTGTCTGACATGGAGGTGTGTATGCAGTGAAGGTGTGTCATCGAATTCCTCCATCTGAAGAAGATTGCATTCAGTCATATTTAGCAATGCTTGCTGAACATTTATGGAGACCTAATAGTGGATGTGAGCATACTGAGGCATTGTGCAGTGCATTTCATTAATAATGCTGTCTTAACATCTGTGAAGCAGTGGGTCACATCTGCTGGTGCAGATTTTTACAAGTGTGGCATGCAAGCTCCTGTTAATCACTGGTGAAATACATAGCTAATGGTGATGGCTGTGTTGAAAAGGAGTGTTGTGTAACTGAGAATTTGCTGTAACAAATAGCATTGTGCTCTTTCTATCTGTTGTAGCTTCCATGGAAACAAATAGCAGGTGTTACTTTCAAAGCAGCTCACCTGGGTAGTCCTTAGGGTTCCTTCTAACCCCCATCATTCTATGATTATTCTGTAATTTGTCAATAAAACTACTGTGGAAATTTTTGTTCAGTTAAACATGAGATGTTAGTGTAGCCAGTTTGTTATCCTTAGCATGAAGTGTGTATCTGGGGGCAGAATTGGGCCTTGCTGTTCTACTCCCTAGTCCCATCCTGTAAGCATTCTTAACAGCAGCTGTGTGAAAGGCAGTGTTATGAAAATTGAGATTATTGGTGTTTGGGAACCAGCTGTGTTTTAGGGACCAGTGAAGAAAAGGAAGCTTTCTGCTAGCATTTCCCCCATCGCTGCTTTTATTATCAGACACTGACTTTACAGTGCCTGGTATGGGACAGGACTTCTCAGTTGGTTTTGCTAGGGATAAGAGCTACAATAACACCTCTGGTTATGTAGCCTCTGAAGATTTTTCCTCCAAGAACAAACTTGAAAGAGGGTAAAATTATTTTCCAAAATCGAATCTGAATCTACAGCTTACTGGAAGTTCTGTAACCCATTACACACTACTTGAACTGTCCAGTCATCTTAGGGATGGCAGCCACTGCCTGAGGAAGAGAGAAATAACTTAGTAATGAACTGAGGTTTGTTTCTGGGGTGTGCTTTGGCATATATCAAGTTAGACCTTGAGGAATGACTCTGATTTAATCCATCATTAATTTATTTTCCAAGAAAGATTGTTAATGCAGTCTGAGAGGCTACTGGGCAAGGACATGTCAGTGTGTTTAAATTTAGTAATGTCACTCTACCAGTGATTGCAGCTGTCAGAACTGATACACTCTTGCTAAGAAAATGAATCATTTTTTATCTTTTTGGTTCTATTTGTTTAAAGTACTTTATAGTGTGTGAGGCAGATTAGACAGCTGTAAGCTGGTTCCCTGTTACCATCTGGAGAAGCAGGTTGTCCTACTGCAACCACTCCTAGAGAAATGCTCTACGTAATTCCCTGAAATCTGTAGCAAGATGTGCAAGAACCTGATCTGAAGAACTTTTTTACGTATGCACCTATGACCTAGAAGTACTTTCCAGAGATGGATCTACATTGGAGCTTTGCTTGCTTCTGAACTCTTCAATTTGAAAAAAAAATGCTTTGAGGCCAAATGAGTTTGGTTTTTTTTTTTGAGGGAGGCAGACATACCAGCTAAAGACTGAAATTTATCTCGGTTTATACTTTTTTATTAGTTAACTCATGCAAGTTGAGATGACAGTACAAATGGACATTCTCCTGTGCAAGCCTCTTATGGCTTGCTGGGCTGCAATTGTTTAGTTAATTAGAACTCAATTTGAAAAAAAAATAAAATAAAATAAAAAAATTTAAAAAAAAATTGAAAAATTAAAAGGTGAAAGAAGAGTAGATGTGATATGAGAAGAAACTTTTCTAAGGAATATTAGTTAAGAAAGAGAAATCGCCTGTGTATGCTCAGAGTATTGCTATTCCAGAGGAAAGGTCGTTTGACCCGAAGTGTCCGGAAAGGACAGGTAGCTACATGCATGATCAGATAAAGTCTTACTTGCTCAGATGCAATGAGGTTGGAAAAGGGAATGGCTTAGTAGAAGAGTGGAGCTCAAGTTTACAATGTCTGTTACATTTGTCTTTTCTTTACCCTTTCCATAGCCCTTCCCATTTCACTTGTTTGTGTCCCTTACAGGGTCTCATTCTGCTGCAAGGAAATCAGGTGAATGAGCTGCCGCCTAATCCTGACGAGCCCGGAAAACATCTATTTGAAATTGCCCCAGGTAGGCCAGCAAGTCCTTTTACTTCCTGCATAACCTTAAGTATTCCCTTTAGCTGACATCAGTGATAAGAGAGCTGCGTGGCTTACTTGAATTCTAGGCATTCTGGTACACTAGCCAAATCACGTAGAGAAATTGAGAAATAGGGCTTGATAGAGTTATTTGTTGTGATAGTATCTCTTTTTGGATGGAACTGATGCTGTGATACCTCAGAAAAACAGTTGGAATGCCTTGCACCCCTATACTTTCCTGTTTTGAGGGGGCTCCTGGCCAGCAGTGCTGGGTGATCTCTCGCTTTAGTGTGGTTTTCCAGTTTTAGGTTGTGGTAGATGCTGCCATGGAACGCAGAGCTTATGGAAAAGAGACATGCAATGTCTGGATGTAATTTTTTAATGTATCCTGATAAAGTTTAAAAACAAAAAAGTATTATATGTTTTTTTTGAACTGAAAAAATTAAGAGAATAGGCTGCAATGGGAGTAGCTGCAGGTGGTAAGATCTGCAGAGAAGAAAACTGCTGCACTGCAAGCAGTATTAGAGATGAAGAATGAGGGAGGCATGCCTCTCTGTGTGCTTGTCTTCTGGTACCTGTGGCAACAATCTGAGGAGAAACAAACTAATTTACTAAATATGTTATCAGAATGCAAGATTATAATCAGAATTGAAGCTAATAAATCAAATATAATGAGAGAGAGAATGTCTGAAAGGTGAGTAGGGCTCACCATAACACTGAGGTGAAATGCGCAGTCCAGTTGAGCAGCAAGGAGACGGGAGGAGAGCCAACAAAGAAAAGCGGACAAAAAAAGAGTGCATCAGGAGCACCTTGCCAGGAGTTATTTCTCTTCTCTGTGACCACAAAGTCCCCTGGGGAATGTAGTTCTTCTCTTCTGGGCAGGTACCCAGAACTTGAGCATTAATAGTTAAACTCCCAGTGCTCCACATGATGTTATGATGTGGAATACCGAAAACCAAAAATCGCAAAACTATGATAAATGCACAGCACAGGGTATGCTTGTCCATATGGGTAAATACTACTGCTTTGGAGGCGGGTGTGCATTTGGCTGTGTGCTAGCAGCGGTTCTCTTGCCACGTAATCAGGCTGGGCATAAAATGTCTGTGTTGTACACTCAACGTGGTATCAATCAGTTCAAGAGCAATTAGATAGTACTGGAAGGCTCTCAATTGTACAAACAGGCAGAGTTTACAATAACTCGCTGTTAGAGCATTCCGTTTGACACACAAGAAGGTACTTTTTTTTTTTTTTTCTCTTGCTTGTCACTGCATGTTGTCTGGAAATGCTCCCTTATCTTTATATTGTTCCACGCCTTCATAGGCTGGACTCTACAAACAAATCAGTAGGGCAATGTGCTCACAGTGTTGTTTACATGTAGGCATCTCCTTGAGAGTGACATTGATTGTTTGAACGTGACAGATCTTATGTACTATTTCTCAAAGATTGTGCGCCATATTCTTGCTGTAAAGTGAACTGGGCTGTGAAAGCACTTGGATTTTCCTGGTTGTGAATATATCCATGTGTTCTTGTACTAAAGGCAATTAACAGAGCCACTGGGTAAATGGGATTCTTCACTTCTTGCTAGCCTTTTAGGTTTTACTTCTGTGGGCTGCAAAATAGATCGCATGAGCCACAAATGGTGGTTGCTTCAATGGAGTTGGCAGTAACAATACTGTGTGGCTACTTGAGAAAGGCTCTCCAAAGAGATAGAAAAAAGCAACACGTGGCAGCATAGTTTTGAGACCCAGGACATCTGTGTTCAGTCTTTTGTGTTCAGTTTTGTCATTGCTCTTCCCTGGGCTCCTAGGAACAACTACTTACTCTTAGTGAACCACTGTCCTGCCAGTAAAATTCAGATGTTTTCTCTACAAAGTGGAGATGAATCTATTTGTGTCTGTAGGGAGCTTGTTTGAAACACAGATAACAAGTATTGAAGAATGCTATAAATAGCCAGTCAATGCAGAATGTGATTCAGCACAGATGTCACTGAAAAAACGTAGCTTGAAGAGTTTCCTATTCTGTTCACAGTACATTTATTCTGTGCCGATTTTGGCATAAATGCGTTTTCTTTCTTGCCTGTCTTCTAAAATGATTTCTTGCCAGAACCACAGAACATCCACGTAATGAACAGTTCTTATATTGGTACCAGATAGAAAAGGGAGCACAGATGATCTTGCAGGACCCAAAACATTATTTTCCATCAGTTCCCATCTTTCCTTGTGTTGACACTATGATCAATATTGCTTCTTAATTGTGTTCCTGTCCTCCCAGTGTAAACTTGGCACTACATAGTCTCTAAAAGGTGATAAGATCTCTCAGTGTTTTTAACTAAGCTGAGGATTTGTTAGCAGAAGCATATTCCGTAAATACAGATATAAGATTTTTCAGTACATGTGAAATGCAGGGCTTTAACAAAATTCAGAGCAGTCCTGTATTCTGAATGTTTCTGTAGTGTCCTGATACCACCTTAACTGGTAAAGAGAGAGACTGAGATCTATCTTGTAGTTCCTGACAAGAAATGTCCCAAACTTTGGATTGTAGCACCAGCTACCTCCAAAAACCTACTTCGTGTTTGATAGCTAGCATTTCAGCGTTCTTATTACTAGAGCAGTTGCCTGGAGCTTACTGCATGTTTTTGTGTTGTCATCTTGCCAGCAAGTGCTACTTCCTCAGAGTGCAGAAACTAGATTAACAGCATGTCCTGCACTGTAACAGAGCCTGTATTGATTTTCTGCTGAGTAACAAGAACTAATGATGGGCATTGTGTATTATTCATGTTTCATCAAATCATTTATAAGCTGTGTAGTGCAGCTGTGAGAAGGGTTAACTCAGGACGTGAGAGACAGTAGAATAGTTCTACAGTGAAACCAGTGTTGTATCAAGTGGCAGCACTTTCTAAACTGCCTCCTTTGGCAGAAATACTCTCTATCCTCTCTTCTGGAGAAACTGCATGTATTTCTGGACCCTTTTTAGCCTGTTCATGCTTTCTTCTCCCACAGCTAATAAAGCTCAAAGTGGAATGGCAGAGTAAAGCATGGACACTTCAATAATTGCTCTTATGTACCAGGGTGCATGTGCATGTGGTGGGAGGGTGTTTCTAAAAAATTATTGGGATGGTCTGAGGCCAAGTGCAAAGTTTAGTTATTTGGGGCTGATCTTCACACATTGCAGCTACTATCTGAGAATGTCCTAGGGGAGTGTTGATGACTTAAATGCTTCTGGGTTTTTACTTTCTAGAAGGTTGATGTTTTTAATGCCATGTGGCAAATAGCTTGTCTCATTTCAATAATTTGCTCTTTGCAGCACTAAGAGAGGAGATGCACAAGTTCTGCAGAATCAGAGATCATTCTCTGAGACTGGAAGGTTTTAGAGTCAAGGGAGTGGTGAAAAAGTTCAGAAGGTAGGACAAAATTGTTGTCTTTAGGGCATGGATTATTAACAACTGACTGAAGAATAGCTTTTCTTTGTAGAAAACTTGATGAGTTGAAGGGTTTTTTTTCCCTCTTTAGGATGGATTCAGTCAGACTTCTCATGAAGAATGAGAGGGGGAAGACATAAACATTAAAATTTTTCCTTAGTTAAGCTGATACCTTAATGACTAACATTGTCACCTGTGCAGGAAACCCAAGTTTCTCTTCCACCAAGTGAGGCCTGGACCCTGAATCTGTCATCTGTGAGTACCTTCCATCATTACTGGTCTTAGTGGGACAGATGGTTTTGCTTCACTTTTAACTCTGAAATTTAGAATAACTTTATTAACATCATTTTTGGAAGAACGTTTGCCCTTTTCACAAACTGGCTTGTTGCGATTGAAAGTAGCTTTTCAGATAAACTCTCTCCTGATTCTTAATAACAGCTTGCCATAGTGCTGTTTGCTGAGGCTGACAGTGACAGCTCTTAGCTAGAGCTTTACGTGAAAGATAAGTGCAGTATTGTGGTAATTATAATTTGATTTCATTGGAAACCACTGCTAAAGAGATTGATCTTGCTTGTCCCTTTTCCTCTTGGCTTTTTCCCCAATATACTCTGATTTCTCACTTCTACTGTTGTGACTGGGGGGAAAAAAAAGTCTTTGAAACCAGTTGGACTTGAGGTTGATCAAACAAGGACTGATGGAATATGCTTTATACTCCTCTTGAGTAATGCTACCAGCCCTCTCATTCAGACGATTCAGTCTCCGAATCTTGTCTTGGGCTTTGTGTAGGCTTAGCCAGAGCAAAGGTGCTTATGTTTGATTCACATTTAGGTTATTTTCAAAGCTTTGTACTCTCGCATGCTGTTCAATTAATTATAAAGTCTGAGCTCAATATCAACAAACTGCCTTTTTCAAAAGGGACCTGAACTCAGCAGTGATTCTTAAATATGGACTTTTTTGTATTCTGCCAGTAGGCAGGCTTAAAATGCGTCATCCAGGAACTTCTTTGTAGGAGCTGTTTCACTGCCTTTTTAAACTATTAAATAGGATATTAATAAAGGCAGAATTGGAAGATGGGAATACTAACTCTTACAGGAACTTTAGTTGTTGACCATATGTTCTGTAGGGAGTGCAGTTTTGCTGCTGGCAGTGTTATGGAGTGGTTGTAGTGGCAGCTCTTTTGTCTTGTCTCAGTAGGGTGAATGGTGCCTGTAAAGCACTGCTCTGCAGTACACTTCTCTGTCTCAGGTGATCAACAGCAATTAAGTTAGTTTTGTGACCTTTTTATCTCGGTTCCTATTGAGATGTGTAATTAAAATGCCTAGAGGAGTAATTAGAAATTCAGACACTTAGAATCATTCTGTATTTTCTATCAATCAATGCATACTCCAGTTCTAACTATCAGCAGGAAGCTGAGTTTGCTGCTGGAAATTAATATTTTCTCCTGAAACCTACAGTTGACTACTGACTGCATCTCTGGATATGTAATGTTGGTTTTAGAGGGCTTTATTTAGGTTTCTGGTATTCAGCACTTAGCATAGTAAGAATAGTAGTTCTAGGTTCTACTGAAAAGAGTGAAGTGATATTATTTCAGCAGAGCACTTGTGGAAATGCTTAGCAAGCTTATGGACATCAGTAAGTATCCATGACATTGCACTGACCTGTAGGAGAAGACAGATCTGCAGCACAGCTGCCATTGTTACTGGCAGCTGATCTTTAATTCTTTTAATTCTGATCTTTAATTCTTCTGGAAGCCTGGAGTGCAACTGAAGGCAGAATATTTATGTCACTGAAAGTGGTAACTATCTTAGGGAATATAAACTAGACTTCTCATTTATTAAGGAGGGATAAAGCTAAAATATTTTCTCTGAACTGTCTTTATAACAGAATGCCTAGCACAGTGAAATTGCACGCCTTCTTTCCTGACAGTCTGGAAACTTTTTACTATCTTACAGTTTGGGTTTAAGACCTCCAAGGAAATACCAAGTACACTTGTAGTACCAGATACATCTGCTGGCCTTTTGTCTGCTGCAGGGACTCCTTACATGCAAGATGAGTGCAGCCAAAGACCCTTTGAATACATGTATGCTGTATTTTCATAACAAAAAATGCAAAATCTTGATTCTTTAGCATGTGCTCTGCTTGCTCCATCAGCTCTTGAGCACTAGATGGTGCTGGTTCTTTCTACCTTTTGCTCGGAAACTTGCAATGGTTTTGGTATATCCTGAATCACTTGAATTTGAGTTCATTCTGTAAGAGGAAATTAGCCTCTCCTTGTTTCTCCATGTCTCCTCAAAAGCAACTCAACAAGTGAGAGTTTCTGAAAGCGATGTTGTCTATCTCCTGAAGCTATTTCTGTGCTCTGTAGGCAGAATATAGCATTGCATACATTTCCAAATTTTTGCCCTGCCATGAGCAACTTAGTCTTCTTGGATCTATAAGATGCTACTGCAGATTCTAAGCTGCAGCCACAGGTGCCAAAATCAAGTGTTTGAAAGCATTCAATTTCAAATTCTTTTCTTGCTTCATGTTAGGATGGATTTCCTTCTTATGGAAGAGCAAAGTGTGTACTGTATGGATATGTGCAATAATGGCTGTATGGAAAAGCCACTTGAATCTAGGCCTCCACTCTTGAAGGTAAACCATCCTCACCTGGGGCTTACTGGCTATTTTGTTGTATCTATCAGTTTTTCCCCATCCTGAACCTGACAAACTTATTTTTTGTAACATTTATCTTTTTTTTTTTTTTCTTTCTAGTTTTAAGGAATAGGAATTTGCTTCCTCTGCCTGGGTATTCAAGTAAGAATTTGATTGAAAGTCTCACGGCATTGCTTCTTAGGGATTTGCCTGAAAAACACTAAAGGTCTTCCTCAGGGCAGCTCTTTCTCCTCAGCTAAAATGATTTTACGTGCCTGAAAACAAAAAATAGTTTTCATGGCCTGGCCAGACCCTGACAACTTAATTTAGGATCAGCAGAAGCACCAAGGGGCTGCCAGTGTTTCTGGGTTTGTTGTATAAATTGATTTGAGTTAAGCAACTGTTATTTGTGGAAGTTAATGGAGGCCCTGGCTTCACTCATAAAGACATTAGACATTAACAATTCAAATCTGCAGGCAGGGCATCTCTTCTTACTAATCTCCTGATCCATGAATACTTGACTGTACCGTTTCATTGATTAATCTTTCTTGAAAGACAACCTGAAAAAAAAGACTGAAACCTTGTCATCTGAATTTGTATAATCTTTACTGATTTCAGTAATGTTATGTTAGGTCCAGTGGTGTACAGAGATCAATACTCTATTGCCTACTTAAGGCAGTGGCTCATTCCTGTTTAAGGTCTTAATACAGCAACCAGGCTTCCATATAGACGCATTACTAGGCTCCTCTTCCCCCCAAGGACTGTGATGCTCTTTGATAGTTATGAATTTTTTGGCTCACCTTGTATTGTCAATTGAAAACATGCTGAAGGGTATCAAAAGGCACCTGCAGCCAGTAAATTGTTTTTACTTTTCCCCCTTACCATATGCAGTGCCCAAGGCTTATGTTTGCATTTGGCATGCAAAGATTCTGCTTCATGCCTTTCTTTCATTAGATGTGTCTGATCTATTGCCTACATCCATCAGTGCTCTTGGGTAGTTTGAAGTGATCCTGGAAATGGACTGTGACAGCATATGAGTTCTTCTGTCCTGGAATCTGCATCTCCAGGAGAAACTCTACATCTGATCTCTAATCACTAGCACCTAGATATCTTGAATGCAAGCACTGGCTTTCAACAAAAATGCTGTTTTTTACAACTTCAGTTGCAACAGTATGTGACCTTCTAGGAAAGGAGCTTCATGAATGGCTTTTTCTGCTAGCAGAGATCATTAAGATATAATTTCTAACTGTTGTAGAGCAGCTTTCCTTAACCCATTGTATTTCTGAAAGTCAGATATGTTTGCATAGCATTTTGTGAGGGCTGCCCTTTGGATGCAGAGATGTGGTTCTGTAAGATGTTGTCACTGGAACCTGCAAGGCATATTTTAATCCCATCAGGTTGGCTTTTTAGTGCAAATTAGGTAAGATTTTGAGCTCTTTTTCCTGTGATATTCCAGAGTAAGATCTGAATATTTTGCCTTAAGGATGATATATTAAGCCCTGAGGAGCATGTGGTTGGTATAGAGATAAATATATTTAGCATTTCAGTGCAGGAGTAGCTTTGTTTCATAAAGATGTGATATCAGTCTGTCAGTGCAATCTATTATATGGTCCCTTTCCTGTATTTCTTGGTAATCGGAAATGATGTCTTCAATGCTGTCTTGCCTCTTGTGTGCTCTGATGGTACTGCTTGATGTTCAGCTGTGTTCTGCACCAGAAGCAGCTGTGTTCCCTTTTTGTAATAAGGACGAGTGAGTTTTGTGTTTCATGCTATACTTAGGATGCCTCGGATGAAGATATCCAGCTGACTAACATGAAGTAAAGCAAATAAGCAATGTAGTTCATAGAACACAACGAATGTTAGAGATAGTAAAGATGAGTGTTAAAGGTCAGCATTATTACAAAGAAGGAAAATATTAACCTGCTTAGATACCCAACCCGCAAATGTTTTGCCAATTGAATAGTCTTGTTGAGGCGAGTTGAACTCTAAGTCATGTGGTATTGGGTCCTTCGTTTGAAGTTCATCTCACTTGCCTTTTGCTATTTAATGGGTTAATTCTTTTCCCAAGCTGCCTGAAACAGTCAGGTAACTTTACTGATAAAGTGTATTTCGGATTAATTTGTGGGCTTCTGTTAGTCATCTGAGCTAGAGAGTCACGTTTGCTTGCTCTTTTCCATAGGTTGTCCTTGGGACTGCTTTCTTTTTGATTTTCTACACTTGAACTTTTTAAGGGTCGCCATCTCTGCTGAGTGGTTCCTGTTTCTTTGTTTCTTTCTTCCTTTCTTTAAACTCAGATAGTACAAGTAAATAGTTGAATTTTGAGGGGGTGGATGAAGATTCTTGGGAGTTTAAATTTTTTAAAATGATTATGGATCCTGAAGTTGGCAGCAGATACACGTGTCTGTTGTGCAGTGTTTTGTGTTTGGAATAGCAGGAATAAAAGACAGACACTTAAGTTTGTAAATGTAAAATTTTGTCAATGGGGAACTTAATTTCTGCTCCAATCATACTGTTGTTATCACAGAATAACTGGAACATATGCAGCGTTTAATCACTTGTAGCTTTACTCTTATTTTCTACCTGATTTGGGCTGCTGTGGATCTGAGTTTCTGTGGTATGCAGCAGGTGCAGGCTAATGCAGAATATACATACTCTTCCATATCCTCTTTCCTCTCTTCTGAGCAGTGCTTCAGTCACATTATGCTCATTGAAAATAGGGCAAGAAGCAGAGCTGGTTGTTTCTAAACCAGGGCTGGACATCACCTAGGTGAAATAAACCAGAATGTTTGTTCCACAGAGTGCTCCAGAAGGGAATTCTGACACCTACAGAACATTCCTTATCTAAAGAATAGAAATGTAACTATAACCTGAGAACACACTATGTAATAACAAACCTGTTAGGCAGCACTTCTGCTGCTGCTGCTGAGGTAGCTGTTAGTGCTGGTGGCTGAACTGCTCAGTATAATATTCTGACTTCAAAATGCCATCTGCAAATAGTTCTGGTAAGAAAAATAAAACGTGTTTCCTTTTCACACAGCCCATGTGACAGCACAATGGGGAAGGAACAGCGAGGTTGATAGCATGCTTCTCCAGTGTCCGAATAGAAATCTAATTGGTAAGCTGCTGTCTGATTTGTTTATGAAGCTGTTTGTGAATGTTGCCCTAATGTCAATTGGAAATGGCAGCTGGCCTGATGTCAAACAGCTGTGATGATTCACATGCAACCCACTCTGTTTTTGCCTGAAACGCTACAGGGATAGCCAGTGCTATCAGTGTGAACCAGCTTGTGCTGGGCTGTCTGAACCTCACAGAGAAGAGGAGGAAGTAGGGCAAAGATGTATTGCCTATGGAGAAACACTTTAGATTTATACTTTACTGAGAAAGTAGCCATGTGAAAAAGTAACAGTAATGTTACATGTAAAGCTTTCTTAGCCTTCCTATGCTACTCTAGGCATTTCCAAAGTAGTGGTTATGTATGGTGACTGAACGAAAAGGGCTTGGTATTGGAGTGCTTATATGTGCTTTTTAAATAATTTTTCAGATTCTTATGCTATGCACGTATCTGTACTTAGCTTTACCCTTGGGTAGGGTCCTATCAACATGATTGCCCACAAAATACTTTCCACATTGATCCTATTATCAAGATTCACTTGTGTTACCCAGGAAGTCAGAGTAGGTCATGACAAAGGTCTCTCTTGTGCATAGTGTTTATGAATAAACTTAAAAAGGTGCAATTTATTGCAGGGTAACAAACTCACCTGACACCTGAACTGCTGGAAATGCAGGCTTTGTACTTTCCGAAGGTCTAATGCAACATGAAGAATGAAAAAGTGTGAAACAAGCAGAACAATTTAGTTTCCTTGGGGCAGCAAAGAGAAGTGCTGACATTAATCAGCTTAGAAATGAAATGCGTGCAATTTTAATACTTGAAGGTGTCCTTGGGAAGTGGACATGGAGAACCAAGGAATTGTGTGTTTTGAAATCAGTAAATTTTGGAATATCTATTTCTGTCAATTCTTGATGTTTAAAGAAATTTGTTCAGAAAGAGATGGATGTGAAATCTTTGACACGTCCAGAATGTGGGTGGCTTTTTGTTTACTTGTTTTTTTTGTGATGAAGCTCTTCTAACAGATAAATCCTGTAGATCCTTGAGTATTGGCTTTACGTGCATTGCAGATACAGGTAGCAGTTCCTCTTTCCTGATTGCTGTGAAGAAATTAATTCTTTATTAGTATTAGAGTAACTCAAACAGATCCTGTGGTTTGGGTTAAATATCCTTGGCTTAAAGGGGAGGCATTGTAACACTTTTGCTTGAGACCTAGTTACTGACCAGTGTGACTGTTTCATTTGTCCTATGTATTTATTCCAGGAGTAATTTTAACTCCTTTTTCTAGTGACCTATGTGTGGGTTCCTGTTAAGTCATGCGTGAGCTTGTCATTGTTTTTCTGAGGAGTGCATGGATGCGTCTGATATTACATGAAGAACGTAATCCCATTTTACATAGCATAAGTAGCAGAACTGAGCTATGCTAGTAAAGAAGCTTTAAACTCCTTACTAGAAATTACTTTGGTTTTATTACTTCAACAGTATATTTCTAAACAACTGTAAAATCCCTGACCTTGAAGAAACACAGTTTTTGTGACTATTCAAGATTTTTTTTTTTAAAGCAACATCAACATGTTGAGTCCTAAGAACGTTTACTGAAGTGTAGTTGATCTGTGTTGAATTTAGTGCCTTTTTCTCCTCATAAACCTTTCAGTCTTTATAGTACCTATTGCAGTGGATTCTGTTCAAGGTACTGTATTGTGGAACAAAAGAAGTGAGGCAGCTGGGGTCAGGAATATGTTCTGTTTAGTGTAGCATGTTCTGATAAGTGTAATCTTCCTAATTTTCTACAAGCACTCTAGTTGAAATGATTGTGATTTCTTCCATTAGAAAGACAAAGTTCAGGTTACTTATAATTATAGAATTGTTCCTTTTAGGAGCCTGTTTGCTTTCTCATCGTTTGTTTTCCATCTCTGTTCTGTCAGGTGCACAGCCTAGTGCACACACATTCTTTTAAAGTCTGACTTTGAATCTCAGCCAATGGAGATAGATACATTTCTAACTGCAGGATTAAACAGTGTTCTACATCCATAAACCACTGCTCTTCTAACTGAATTCCACTTAAGATCTTGATAGATCCTTGTCCCCACCTGGTACCAAAGAGATGCTGTATATCATGCTGAACTCATGAAATATTATTGTTAGTTCTGGGATCTGCTTTTAATCAGGAGGTGTCTGACACTCGTGAAAGCTTTGAGAAGGGTGTGTGTAAGATAATAAAGAGCTATGAAATCAAAAGAATACCATGTTAAAATGGTAAGCATCTGTGAGGCCTTGAGGAAGAGTTGTGCATTGCATAAAAGATAATACAAAAGCTGTGCTGCTTCATTTAGTCTGGTGTTGTGGATTTAATATTCATTTCTAGCTATGCTAATGTGAGAATCCTCTTACTGTAGGAGGGGGCATCTCTTTTATTAGGAGAGGCTGATAGAGTTGAGACTGCCTGAAGGCAGATTTGGGAGGGGGGATCTTACCAATCTCTGTAAAGACCTGAAGAGAGAGTGCCAACAGGATGCAGCCAGGCTCTTCTCAGTGGTGCTTAGTGCCAGGACAGGGGGCAGTGGATACAAACTCAAACACAGGAGGTTCCATCCGAACATCAGGAAGCACTTCTTTACTATACAAGTGATGGAGCACTGGAACAGGTTATCTGAAGAGATGGTTGAATCTCTTACTTGGAAGTCTTCTGAAGCTGCTTCAGTGTGGTGCTGTACACCCTGCTCTGAGTGTCACTGCTTCATAGGGTTAGGACCACGTGGACCCAGAGGTCCCTGCCAACCTCACCTAAACTGTGGTTTGCACTAAAACTGTGTGCTTTACTGTTCTTTCCCTGTGGTCTACAAATAGTGGGGAGTTGGCCAGGAACAACTATGAACACGTTGCCACTGGTAAGAAAGGATTTGTCATACAGAGTAGGATTTGTTGATGTTGGCCAGTGTGCCTACCTGTGCTGACAGAAATAAGAGCACAGGAGCAAGAGCTGTCCTAGTGTACTCCTTCAATCAGTGCACACTGTCTTTTCACCAACAAAAATGGAACAGTAAGGACATCAGCTTTTCCAGGAACAGGTGCAAAGGATTCATTGTAAAGGAGACTTTGTCCATGGGCAGAGCTTACTGGGGATTTTTTTGTGCTTCCTCAGTGCTTTAATGCCAAAACCCTAAGAGCTTGCTAATATCTCTGAGGCAGACACCCTAAAGAGAGGACTTGTTAGGGTTAGAGGTACAGGATTTACTCTAATGCAGTATGGCTGAAAGGTATATAGGGACTTGTAACAAAGCTTTCCTCGTTTGTTTTTAGTTGCACCTAAAACTTGTTTTGAATTTACTTAGGAGGCTGTGAGCTTCTCATATATACCAGGTGGTCTATTAGAATTCATAGACTCTTAACTTTCTCACAAGGTTCCTTTATCTCAACAAGTGTTTTAGGTCAGAGAGGTGGAAGGAATAAAGAAGGTGGAAACCTAGAAAAATACCTTTTGAAACATAGGTGACAGAAAAAAATGTGAAAAATGCCAGTGCAGATTATTAATATATAGCTGTCTGTTATGGCTTCAGATGCAGGAATTCTTTTGGAAGCAGAGTGATTAGAGAGAAGAGGAAGGAAATAGACATCAGATCAGAATAACTTTTTCATAAATTCAGGATCTCACAACTTTCTGGACTAGAAACTTCTAATAGGGCCAGGTTATAAGTTCTGAAATGCTATTGCTGACTCACCAGTTGGGTGACTTTTGTTCTTTAAGAATGTACTACTTTCTTTAAACCTATAGTGTGTCTCATCATTACTGTGTCCTATTATTTCCTTCCACACTGGGCTTGTGTTGTATGACCTCTGAAAAGGCAGTTACCAAATTTGCACCTGCAAGCAATACCTACCTCATACCATCTAGTGATGTATCTACAGTGTCAACTCCTGTTTTTTTGTGGAGGAGCGAACTAGAAATACCTCCAAACCACAAAGATCTGATACTTCTGTCAGCAAGTTATATTTCAAACTCTTACCAACCTGGAGAACTGGGATTTGCAAAAGCATTTCTTTCACAGTTTATATTAAAGGCTTTAGAAGCACGTATTTAAAGGATTGAGCTTTTGGAGGCAGAAGGATAATGGGATCTGGAAGATGGTTTAGACTTCTCTGATCACAGAGGAAAGAAATCATGGGGGAAGTAGCATTATCACCTTATAGTTGAATACCTGATCTCTTGTCTTAGGTACTTAAAAGAGATGAAGAAGGTCTTCAAGGGAGTTTTAATATTAGGAGATATACAAACCAAGGCTGAGCATAACGCACTCTTCTACCTTTGTTATATAGCCAAAATACTCTTAATTTCCTGAGATCCAGTGGAGAGTAGGAATTTTGTGTGGATGCATCTATTTAAAAATGCTTAGATGGAACTGTAATTTAAAAGTCATTCCTGAAGCTTAATCTTTTTGAAAGCGTCTTAAAATATCTGCAAACAATTAAATTACCCAACTGAGTAGTGCTTTGCTACAATGTTTGCCCCATGCAGCACTATTTTGACACACAAAGTTTGTTCAAACTGAAAATGAGAGAGTCCAGTTCTGGGTTTCTTGAAACACAGTCTTGATGTTTCTGAAGTAAAATTGGGAATTTGGCACTTGTCTGATGAAGAGGCATAGATAGGGAGTTGGAAGGACAGAGTTTTGTTAGATTTTGGCAAAACTGTTCTCTGCATTGAGGATCCTAGGTTGAGTTTCTGGTCTTTACTGGAGCAATTGATGCTTTCTACTGCCCCAGTAGGAGCTCACTATTTGTCAGGCAAAATCTGTCTGTAGATTGGAGATTGGTTTATGATCTCTGCAAAGACATCAGCATGGCCCAGTAAGTTGCACTGTCGCTTTCCTCGAATAGACTGTGCTCTAATCAGATAACAATATTAATAAACTTTATTCTCCTTTGGCCTAAGCAGATCCAGCCAGAGCTGTACTGCATGGTGATATGCGGTAGCATGGGTTGCCTATCTAGTACTCAGGACAGATTTTCTG